ATTGTTGAGATTCCAAAAGAGAAAATGTTCCCCTGTCCTTCCATGTTCAATGTTTAGTAGTCTTCCAACATACGGGTTACATTCAGCACAACTCAATATAGAAAAAGAGGATATTTCTTGATTTAAAAAACAAAAACAAAACATAGCTACAGGTCAGAACACTGAGGTCTAAAGAGGACTCCAGTCCAGTAGGTGGCGGTAATTGACCTGTTTTGTTTCCAGCAGCCATGAAACGAATCAGTTCCTGCAGCATGTACAAGATGTCGGTTCGCCTGCTGACCCTCAGGGCGCTGAGAGGAGCTCCAGGTCTCTGCCGCCGGACTCCGGCCGTCACCGGCGGATTCCGGGCGGCTTACTCCGCCGCTACACGGGACCAAAGATCCGTTATAACGGAGTCCACGGACGAGTACAAGTTCGTGGAACGACTCATACCGCCAACACGGATCCCCGACCCGCCTAAACACGTCGGAGTCGCTCCGTCGGGCTGGATCCCCCCGGCTGAGTCTCCGCCGCCTCTGCCCTACATGATCCGCCGCTCCCGCATGCACAACATCCCCGTCTACAGCGACCTGACCCACGGGAACCGCAGGTTGACGCTGGTACGGAAGGTGGAGGGGGACATTTGGGCTTTGGAGAAGGACGTGAGGGAGTACCTGAGGCAGGTGACCGGGAAGGAGTTACCCACACAGGTGAATGAGGTGACGATGACTCTGAAGGTGAAAGGTCACTTTGAGCAGGAGCTGAAGGACTGGCTGGCCAGCAAAGGCTTCTGATCGAGGAAGAGGAGGATGCAGCTGAAGGACAACTTCATCAGTTATCTTTAAAGGACTGCTGTCAGCTTCCGGTCTATCAGAAGACTCTTCCTGTCAACAAACACGTTTAATTCTATTCTGTTAAACCTTTAAAGCGAGATTAAAGAGAAAAGCATCACGAACTGTGTTGTGTTCATTGCAGCAGGCAAACATGAATGACTTGGATTTTTCTTTTCATGGAACGACTTCAGATTTTTCTTTTTCTGGTTGACATGTGAATATCTTTAAGGTCAATACCAGGATTACATTCCGGAGAAAATATGAGACAGGATTGCACCGATTGCAGTTTTCTAGCCGATCACTGATCTTTAAAAATCCATGGTTTCACAGCGAAGCATTTCAAATACTGGATAAAACAGCAGTTTTTCAAACTATACATCTTTTTTTTTTTTTGGCTCACAATTATTTTAATAAAAATAAATCTGCAGGAGTTACAATTTAAGCATCAAATCTTTATTTTTTACATGGTGATATACAATTATTTACAAGATGCAGAGTCCTGGGTGCCTCAGGATGTTTGTTAAATTGTGAGCTCTAAAAGTTGAATTGAGGTGACGGTGAAAAGCAGCACATAATTCATAATGATGTCAACTTTTTAAAATCTTCACCAGTATGGTCATCTTCCCCACACTGCACAGCTTCAGACTGAGCAGCTGATCCTGATCAGGGTTTCAGGATCTGTTCCATCTCAGAGCTGTGATGACGGTCAGGTGTGGCGCTGTGAGGCGATGTTCTCAACCCGCTGGCTGAGCTCCTCCAGTTGATCCGCTGAGGAACACAACGGTGGATATTAAACCAGGACCAGCAAACTGCAGCCATTAATAATCACATTAATCTTTATTGGCCTGTTTGATGCAACACAGCAGTCGACATACGGAGTGTGTGTTTCTCTCCTCTGCTCCAGTAGCGAGGTTGTGTTTGTAGACCTTTCACCTCCTCACTCACACACCCCGAAGCTTCACATATTTCCTTCTGCATTTCCAGCTCCTGGATAATAATAACAGAGATGAGAACAGATTATGGTTGGATTTTCCTCATAGTTCTTATAATGTTGGGTCTTTTCTGATTAATTTAAAGGGGCAGTATTATATGTTTTACAGACATTTAGTGACATTTTATAGCACAATCAAGTAACTATGTTACCTTCAGTTGTTAAAAATATGACTTCAAAGAAATCTGACTTCATAATTTAACACCTTGAAAATGGGCTTCTGTCCGTTTAAAAACTGCTTTCTGAAACTCTGTCTTCAGGAAGTCATCACAACATGTCACCTCCATTAAGCCTTTAACAACATTTTTGCAAGCATTGTGCTGAAATTGTGCAGTGATATAAGAAGTGTTTATTACCGTGTTGCAGGCCAGCAGCTGCTGCTGGACCCTCTGGAAGAGGTCGGTCTCTGCGCTGAAGTTCGGTGGTTCTCTGCTGCAGTAGACCCTCAGGTCTGTTTCATACAGATGACTGAAGGTCATCATCTGCTGCTGGAGGTCGCCTGCTGCTAAGCGCAGCGAGCTCGGTGAGAGAGCAGCTGGGTTCTCCTCAGCGCTGTTCAGGAAGTCACACTGAGAACGACAACAACAGGCCGAGATGAAAGTCAGAACCGCTGGCTGCTCATAGGTCGTTTTAGGAATTCATGCACAACCACCCAGTTGTAACTGGCTATTACTGCAGACTGTAACCAGTTCATATTTAAAGCTATACTGGTGCGTCACTTTCTTTGCTGCAGTAATAAGTCATTAATACTTCAAACCGAGAAACATTAATTCTACATGAATGTGTCACAAGATTTGTCAAAATAAAGGAAATCAGAGCTTATGATCCAAAGATTACAGTCTGACTGGAACTTTAAGGTGGATGTTGCTAAATGTGGTGAGAACAGTAAAGTTCATGCTTCAAACAAACTAAGCTGTCAGGATGCAGCAAACTACGACATTTTTTAGTGGTGCACCAATTGCAGTTTTCTTGCCGATCATCAATCTTAAAAATAAAACTGATCTGCTGATTTTGTTTTTGGCCGATATCATGGTTTTTTGTCTGAAAAGTCTCTAAATGTTAAGTTTACAACAGTGGGGTGACTGTTAACAGCTCACATTTCTGTTGCTCTGTTTCCCATCCAGAGAAAAGGGGAACAGTGGCTGATTTTCAGACCTCTGGGGGGGTGAATAAGATCAGATTCACATTTAAGCAGCAGCTGATCATCCAAAATTAAGGAAATGGGAGCCCATTTATCAGCCCGCCAATTTATCGGTGCATCCCTATATTTTTAAAGCATTTATTTCCACAATCCTCCCTCTAGTTGATCTATTAAACTAAAACTGATTTAGTTTCATTTCTGTGCATTTTCTCTCTCATCCAGCCAGAGTTCTCCTGCAGGTTGTCTTACCTTGGACTGCAGCTGCTCCAGTTGTGTCTGAGTGGACTGCAGAAGGTCAAAAACATCTGGAAACTCTTCTCCTGGCTTAAGAGCCGACTCTGGGACTTCGTACAGAGCTCTGTGGGGATCAGGAGTCAGAGGAAGGAAAAGAGCTGCTGTCACTGGAATAAACTGCAGTTTGTTAAATCGCTTTTATTCTGATATCTGTCTTGGTTTAACCAATGACTCAATGCAATCTGCTGGGCTTCCTTAGAAAGAAACTTTTTAAACTTCTTTGAATAACAAACTGAGCTTCCTGTACCGTTTGATTTCTACAATTAATTGGAATATATGTGTGATTGAAATAAGATTTTTGTTGTTAAGTGCCTTGAGACGACATTTGTTGAATGGCACAATAGAAATAAATTCAAGTCAACTTTAACTAGTTTGAAAATGACCTTGTAAGCCTCTACAAGCTGTTGTCAGGTCTTCATTTCACACCAGCTCTGCATTTATTAACAGGGATGGAACCAAACTGCTGCTTTGCTTTGATCTGATCTAATTGTGCAGCAACAAAAAGCTCCAGACATCAGATCAGACGTACTCGACATGAGCAGGCCAGGGATCCAGCGCCGGCTGGAGCATCTGTCTGAGGTGAGGCAGATTCTCTGCAGCAAAAACCTCACACAGCAGCGCCTCTGCATCAGTTCTGTGGCCAGAAGAACCAGAAACAAGAGACAACAGTTGCTCCAGGAAGCCAAGCTGTCGCTGAGGGCTGGCTTTACCCTGGAAGGACAGCAGCCGTGTATATGAGAGAGAAGTTAACTCATAACATGTTGACTTTCATTAAACCTCGACTCACCTTGATTAGATCCAGGTCGTCTGCTTTGCACAGCATCAGTTCCTGACTCATCGCAGCTATTTCTGCTTCCACATAATAAACAGCAACAACAATGTGTTTAGATTAGTCTGAAACATTTTATTTTAATGGAGTCATTTTCAATCCGAAGGCCACACTCACTTTTCTCTAAGTCGTCAGGATCCTTGGACTCTGCAGACATTGCTTCAGAAGTTCCAAACTTGGGGTTGATTCTGAAAAGTGAAATTATGATGAGGGATCACTGCGCATTTGTTAATGCCAATCAATTTTCCGACGACTCATTGAGGAGTAAGGTGCTTGTACCTGCGGCAGATCCATGTCAGGATGTCCGTGCGGAGCGCTGAGGGGCAGCACAGCAGCTCCAGCATGCTCTCCTCCTCCTGCAGGTACAGGTCCTGCACCAAGGGACACGACAAAGCCTCCAAAACAAAACATGTTCACAAATAAGTTCTCTATATACACCAAAGAGGGTGTATGGTGAGTTTCACTTCTAAATGGATTGAATAATAATAGCAAATTGTGGATAGAATCATGCATAAACCACCCTGTGATTAATATTAGTTGAAATATTCATGATTACTTAAGGTTTATCTTCTTTAATCGTGAATTATGTTCAGAATATTTCTGGGCTATATTATCTGCATTAGTGGTGTTTCCATGAGAGCCAAAAATATTCTTACCTATTATCTACATATACAATATTTGTATTAAACAAGAACAATCGTCTCTTTTCTGGAGACAAAACACATTTATTACATTCCCCGATAGTTCTATTGGTTTTTATAAGGGGGTTGTGAACGCCAGATTACTGCCCAATGTTAAAATTAAAGTGCTACTTAAACAAGTCATTGAACAACAAAGCGTGTCTTTCAGGACAAAAATGAGTAGAATCCTTGAACTAACATTAAAACTTTAAGAATATTTTCAGATTTTAAACGATGTTTCAAGTTTCTACAAACTTTCATCTCCTCTCACAGTTAAACATGATTCACATACAAATGAAT